AGACCCAGCCGTGCTCCCCTTGCGTCCCTCCCCAGACCCAGCCGTGCCCCCCAGACACTGCTATGAAGAGCAGAGAGAGGCCCAGGGCGAGGCTGCTGGCTCCCCTCACCTGAGCCGTGGGACCTGCTCTAGACAGTACCCTAGTCCCCCTGCCCATCTGCTCTTCCTGCTGCTTGCTGTTGTGCGAGAGGGGGCAGGAGAAGTGAGAAGTGAGGCCTGCAGGCTAGGGCAGGAGGGAACTCCTGGGAGCAACTGTTTTATAAGCAGGCACAACCCCCGCCCCAGCACTGTGAAAACACGAGGGATAAGAATCAGTGATGGGGGGAGGGGTTCCAAAGTGTGAAGGGCCCAATGAGCCCCCCAAAGCTGTCAGCTCGTGTTCAGCACAAAGGCATCGGTTCTCCCCGGTTCTCTCAAATACTGGTGCAGGCGCTGACATGGCGCGGTGACAGGGAACGGCTGACTGACCCAGCAAACCGGGAACCTTGTCCAGAAACAGCCCAAATCAAGGCGCTGTCATTGTCAGTGCTTAGGGAACTTGAGCTAACAAGAAATGATTCATAATGTCTCACGCACTTTACAAACCCAGCTACGCCCCATTTCCTGCTCCGGAGAGCTGACGGCTGACGTCAGACAAGCCAGACATGGAACAGACAGGGCCCACCATGAGAGTTCGGAGGCACTGCCGATGAGGGCCAGGATTTTCAAAGGGAGTCAGGCGCCTGGCTCTGGTTCACCAGAGAAGGGAGCAGTTTGGACAAGCGAGTGAGGGCCGGCAGCTGGGCATGCAGTGGAGGGCGCGGAGGGAGGGAATGACTGGGACTGCTGGCTCCAGCCACTCCCCTGCCCAGCCCTCACAGCCGGCTCTGCCTTGCCTTGCAGCTGCGGAACCCCTCCGATAAGTTCATCTACGCCACGGTGAAGCAGAGCTCGGTGGACATTTACTTCCGGCGGCAGGTGGAGCTGAGCACCATGTACCGGCACATGGAGAAGCACAACTATGAGAGCGCTGCCGAAGCCATCCAGGCCGTCAGGGACAAGTGAGCGAGGGGCTGCGCCCTGCCTGGCGACTGCGGGCGTGGCTGGGGGCCGTGCAGGCTCGCTGTGTGTGCGGGGCGGCGGCTCTCACTGTTGGTCAGGGCGCGGGTCCCTGTGCCAGAGGGCTACCAGGCATGAGCGAAGCTGTCCACAGGACTTTGCTGGTGCTCTAGGGGGCAGGGGTAGGGGGGGTATAATGCCAGGATGTGCTAGTGCTCTAGGGGGCAGGGGTATGGGGGGGTGTATGATACCTGGGGCAAGCACAGAAAGGCGTAAAGCTTCTCTGGGTGGTGCTTTGGGGGGGGGGGGGTGTCGTGGGATACAGACTGGCAAGGGCCTCTCCCTACTACGCAGAAAGCAGGGCTGGGACCTGCCTTTCCCCTGTGGACCATGAGATGGCGTCTCCCCATTTCGCATTCATGGTGCAGTGTATTACAGCTCTGAAATTGCTTCTGCCCTTCAAAACGGGGCTGCTGCGTGGATCAGAATGGGTGCTGCCTGATCAGGGCCAGCTCTAGGCACCAGCAAAACAAGCTGGTGCTTGGGGCGGCACATTTTGAGGAGCGGCATGGCCGGCGCCAGAATGCCGCCCCTAAAAATGTGCCCCAGCCGCCCTAGCTCACCTCCGCTGCTGCTGCCGCTCGCGCGCCGCTGCTCCCCCTCCCTCCCAGGCTTGAGAGCCTGGGGGGAGGAGGCAGGGCTGGGGATTTGGGGAAGGGGCAGAGTTGAGGCGGGGCCGAGGGTGGGGTAATTAAAAACCGGGGGGGTGGGGCGGCCAAAATTGTTTTTGCTTTGGGTGGCAAAAATCCTAGAGCCGGCCCTGTGCCTGATGGTTATATTATAGCTGACAACAGTCACCACCCTCTGCAGATCATGCAGCTGTAGTAATTTAAGACAAGCCAGTCCATGCTGCCCCACTGACCTGGCTTCTCCTTTCTCCGTGCTGCGTTAGCAAGCTCCACGCCTTCATCTGGGACTCGGCAGTGCTGGAGTTCGAAGCCTCCCAGAAGTGTGACCTGGTGACAACAGGGGAGCTTTTCTTCCGCTCTGGCTTTGGGATTGGGATGCGCAAAGACAGCCCCTGGAAGCAGAACGTCTCCCTGGCCATCCTCAAGTCTGTACACGGCTCTCCAGGAGCGCTCTGAGCTCTCCAAACATTGCATGTGCTAGGACGTGATCAGCTGTGTGTGTGCAGGGCTAGAGTAGGACTCAGGATACCTCTGCTGAGCTGTTGCTCTGCACCTGCCTAATGATCCCCAACCAGCAGGACTGCGGACCTGGCCCAAGCGGCGCTAGAGATCCCGGCTATGGAATCAGAGGCACTTTGAGCCTGATTCCACATGATAAGCCACATCTGTTCCCTGGGCAACTTGGAGGTGAAAGTTCCCATTTGGCTGAGACTGGGTGTCCAGGGTCTCAGCTCCAATGGGAAGTTTATCACCATACTTGGGGAGGAAAATGCTCAGATTATTTTTAAAGAAAACACAAGCGTTCTCAGAGTTACCCCTTCATAAGGTGGGGAGGGGGAGGGATTGGCTGTTTTTTTCCAGCTCTTGGACAATGGAAGGCGTTGGGGTGCTCTGCCTCCATGTCTCTCTGACCCCCATGGGCTCAGTATATAATAACTAGGAAGGTTTTTTCCTAGTTGCCAGCACCGTGAACTCCCCATAGGCTCTGAGAGCCCAGCTAGGCTCTGTCTCCCATATGCAGCAGCACCAGTACCCATAACTCATCTGTTAGAAGTGTTGATAAGCAGCAGTGCAGATGTGTGCCTATAATCTTCCTCCATCAGTTCAGGGTTAGTGGTTTTATGAGCCAGATATCACCCAGCTCGATGAATTTGTGGCTGCAGTAGTTAGAAAGCACAGAAACATAGGCACGGTCCATGTACGAGGTCCATCTAGCCCAGCATCCTGTCTCTGACAGTTGCCAGTGCCAGATGCATCAGAGGAAGGTGCAAGAAACTCTGCAGTAGGCAGATGTGGATAACCTGCCCTCAGGGAAGTTTTCCTCCTAGTCTCCAATAGTTAGAGGCTGGCTTTTGCTCTGAAGCAAGTGAGTTCATAGCCCTGCAAGAGCCATTGTTGATTCTTTGAATATTTACTCATATCCTTCTGGGTATTCTTGTTGTCCATAGAAATGGCCAGTCCCTTGTTCAGTCTTGCTAAACACTCGGTATTAACGATATCCTGTGGCAATCAGCTCCGCAGGCTAATTGGGCTCTGTGCAGACAGGACTTCCTTGCATATAGGGTAAAAGGTCAAGTATTGCCATGGATCAAAAACTGGCTAAGACACAGGAAAACAAGGGTAGGAGTCAATCTTTTTCATTCGTCAGTAGAAGGTTAAGAGCAGGGAGCCACACCGATTCTGTTTTAGGCCCGGAGTGGTTCAATACATTTATCAATGGGTGTGGGAAAGGGAGCGAGCAGGGAGGTGACAAAACTGACAGGTGAGACAAAATTATTGAGGTTAGTCAAGACCAGAGAAGACGGTGAGAACGTCAGAGAGACCAGCCAAGGGCGGGGGATGGGCAGCATGATGGCAGATGAAACTCTGTGTTGACAAATGCAAAGTAATGCACCTTGGAGAGAATAATTAGAACCATTCGTCGAGGACTCTAAAGTAACTGGGTCAACTCAGGATAGGGCGTGGGCGTCAGCATGGAGAGCTCAGTGGAGACCTTTACTCAGTGGGCAGCCATGGTCGAGAAAGCCAACAAGCTGTTAGGATACCTAGGGAATGAGAGGGAGAAAAATACAGACAATCCTGCCAGGCCTTCATATAAATCAGTGGTGCGACCTCATCGCTACCCTGCGTGCGGTGCTGGGCACCCCAGCTCCAAACTGATACTGCAGAATTAGAGGGAATTCAGAGACGCAGACAGAATGACGAGCTCCCATCTGAAGAGAAATTGGGATGGCCCTTGGCTTGGGATGTAAAGAGAGAGGGGACTTGCCCCCAGGGCACACCACAGGTGTCAGTTGGGAACTGAACTCCCGTCCCTTCAACGCTAGCCAGTGTGCCAGTCTTTGGAGCATACTCGCTGCCTTCACCCCCCACCTGTAACCCCATCCCCTGGAGCACCCTCCTCAGGCCCTTCTGCCTGTTGGAAGCTGGGTCCCATCTGGTGGGGGTGTCCCTCCTGTCCACCTCACTGTACATCCAGCACAGAGCTGGCTGCCTCAATGGGAGGAGCAGGAAACTCAGTGCTGAGATGGGCCAACTCCACGATGACCCATATGCTGGCCCACTCTGCTCCTCCAGCTCAGCAACTCCAGCCTCGGGATGCTGCCCTGGAGCGCTGAGCGCCATGAGCTGCTGGTTCCGGGTGCAGACGCATGCCACTTCACCCCCCCCGCCCTCTTCAGCACACTGTCAACCCTTCCGCTGGTCTCCAGTCCCCTATCTCCATAGTTACACGGGATTGGCTCTGACTGGGGACCAGGCGATGTTAGGGTCTGGCCTTCTAGAAGCTGAAGATACGGGGTTTCCTGGATTTTAATTATTATAATCTCCTAGCGGCTGGTCGCCCCACTCTGTCCAGACTCCCCTGGTTCCCCCTCAGCTGCTGCTCGCTGCCCAGCCTAGGCCTCTCTGTGCTCGGGGAACGGAGCTTTTCTCTCATGAACTGAGCCCATTGGTTCTGGGGTGCGAGAGCCGACGGACATGGAGCCTGTTTCTGAGCTGCGCTTTGAGGGGTTTGCTTTACTTGTGCATGACCTGACAGGTGAATTTAATCTCCCAAGAGCCCCCGAACTCTGCCTTTGGATTGCGTAATGACAGGCCGTGGCACTAACTGCGCCCCAGACACTTCACAAATGCACGTTTGCACACCCAGTGTAACAGCCACACACACTACACGGGCACGGGTTTACTGTAGGCAGGACTACGTGTGCACATACATAGAATATACCCGCCTGCTGTGTAATGCACACACAGTTCTCTGCCTGCAGCCATCATGTGCTCCTCCGCCCATTTGCACACACGTCACCCCCCTTCTAGCACAGCCTGCCAAGAGCAAATGCAGAGCAGCTCCTTCTAGCCTCTAGCCTAAGGGGCAGTGAAGCTGAAGTGCAGAGAGTGGGGCTGATGTGGGCAGGTGTGAATGAGACGGGCTGGCGTTTCGGACGTTCCCCTGCTCCCATAGCATCAATGCGCGCTCCCACTGGGCCAGGCGGTGGTCTCCAGTGATGCTCTGTATTGTCTCCTTGTGCTTTCAGATCCCACGAGAACGGCTTCATGGAGGATTTGGACAAGACTTGGGTGAGGTATCAGGAGTGTGATTCCCGTAGCAATGCCCCAGCAACACTCACCTTTGAAAATATGGCAGGTTTGTTCGGCAAACCTCTTTCTTCCCGTTGGCTCACTAACCTGCTTTCCTTCACTGTAACCCTCCGAGCTCTCCTGAGGTCTAAACTCCACTTCTGGGGCTGCGCGTCCCTGTGGTCTGGGAGTTTGCTGTGTTGAGCAGTGTCCTGTTCCCACTGGGGGATCGGAAATGGCTCTGAAAGGCCCCTGCACCCCCAATCTTCCCCTTTGAGGTCCCATTAGCATGCCTGTGATTTTAAAGGTCACCCTCTCTGAGCACGACTCACCTCCCGCTCCTCCAGCTAAGCCACAGTGAAATCACAGCCAGTCCCCAAGGCAGAGACCAGCATCCCAGCCAGAGCCTCAAGGGAACCAGGGCAGGAGAAAACAAGCCGAGCATCATGAGCCAAGCATGTAAGGAAGGCAGCACGTCTAGTGGCTAGAGCAGGAGGCTGGGGTGCAGGGCCCCAGACTCACTGTGTGACTTTGGACAAGTTGCTTCGCCTCAGTTTCTCCCTCTGGAAAATGGGGAGAAATGCCTACTGGGGGTGGGCGGCCATACTTGGTAAGGAATAATTTCTTCAATTAGTTTTGCCATGTTTCCTGTTTGCAAATTGTCTGCAAACAGATGGCAGTTTTCTCGGACATCCTCACCCTACAGGGAATCACGCAGGAAGTCCCAACAGTAATGCTGCATCAGTGGCTCCTTCCCCAGTGTTTTTTGGGGGTGTTTGGGGTCCAAGCTGTGCTCTCTGTATGCATCACTGGTCAGTGTTCCCAGAGCAAGTGTGAGGACTGCCCAGAGAGAGACCATCTCCTCCCTCCCTTCTCCTGCCCCACACCTCTACTGTCCCATCCTTCTACAACTGATTTCCCCTGCTCCCAGCCCAAAGTTTTGGCCACCAAAGTGGTCACCATGGGCAAGGGGCACCATGTGCAACCGCACTACACACACACATTCACACCCGCGAGTGGACACAGAGCTCACCTGGTATGTGTCTGTCCCCTGACTGCCTAAACATAAACTCCAAGAATTAGGCTCCCGGTGTATCCCTTTGAACTCTCTGGGGTGGCTGGTGTCTCTGTCAGTTGTTTGTACCGCCCTTGTCCCTGATTGCAGCCTCTGGGTGCTACAGTGATACAACCAATAATAATAATCCAAACTCAAGATTAGCTTGTCATTAATATTCTGCAGTATTCCCTTCCAATTCCCTCTTTCCATGAACATCCCTGCTGGTAAAGGCGCTGCGAGGATATTCCCAGGAAGTGAGTGAAAAAAGGGTGTCAACATAGCTGAAGCAACTACAGTAAAAAATGCAAATGAATCCTCATGGAAAGGCTCTGCAGTATTCGCCTTCTGCTGTGCTCCACCCTTGGGCATGTCTGGGGGCAGAATCCCTGGCTGCAAGAAGCTATTGACGTGCAAAAGGGTTATTGGGAAATGAAGTATCATGATGCTGTTTCCATTGTCCTCTGTGTAACTTTCCTGCTTATTTCAGGTGTATTTATGCTGGTGGCTGGAGGTATTGTTGCCGGGATATTTTTAATATTCATAGAAATAGCTTACAAAAGGCATAAGGATGCGCGGAGGAAGCAGATGCAGCTGGCGTTTGCGGCCGTTAATGTGTGGCGGAAAAACCTGCAGGTAGGACAAACCGTTTTTAGAGCAAATCTCCAACAGGTGCGTTTTCCATTACTTCACCAAATCAGTGACTACAGAGCTATGGGATAGCCCAGGGCCCCACCCCCATCCCTTCCCCTGGGTCCCTACTAACCACGGGGGTGACTGTGCTGCTAGCGACCAAGGCATGGATTCCCTGCCTTCTCAATGGGAACTCCCCTTGGCACTAACACACGGTCTGATGCAATCTCTCCCAGGAGGTGAGTGGTGCACAAATCTAACCAGGACACCTGGCAAAAATCGCTTCATTCTCAACTGTGCTCCCAGGGGTGGTCTGGCACATTGCTCGGCTGGAGACTACGTGCAAGAGCCGGGTCTCATTCGATTTGAGCAAACAGTGCCAGCACAGCTCCTTTAAAACGCCATTGCATTGACGGACCAGTATCTGACTGCGCTTGACAGCAGATGAGCACAGCATTAAGCTGCTGTTGATGAGCGCCCGGTTCTGCTGCTGGCTGTGTGGGGAAAGGCTCGCGTGACCATTAATGAAACACAGCCAAAGCAACCCCCCGTGTAAGTGCAGTTGCAACCTTCATAACTGGGACCGATTCCAAAAAGAGGTGGTGTGTGCTCTTGTCAATTGGATTCCACAGATTCGGAGAGGTGGGCATCTCTTGATGCCCACAATTCATGCTGCGGGCTAATAATGCCAGTTACTGTTAGCACACCGATTCCCCAGGGCTCATGCCAAAGGGTCATTGCTTGCTATGGATTCTCTTGTCTACAAAGGGATTATTTCTCCTTGCCCCGCAAGTGAGGCAGGATCTGGAGGGAATCTGGTGTGCCTGACACCTTATCATAGCAACATGAGTGAGCCCGGCCCAGCCGACCTGGCTAAACTTTCTCTCTTTCCCAGCTGCTATGGGATTAACCCTTGCTATGTCCCTGGCCCCAGTTTAGGACATCTGGAGTTTCTCTCTGAACTGTCCGGGCTGTTTCTCGTGTTTGGGGAAGCAAACCAGCGTTCAAAGAGGAACAGCTCCTTTATCCGACTAAAGGAAACCACTATCCAAAGCAAGTGTGAATGAAAGAGAGAGAAACAATGATTGGGAACCTTAAAAGCAGTGTTGCTGTAAACAAGTGAAATGAAATGGCCATGTGATAGCAGCATTGACTATGACATGGGAAAGGGCTGCTCAGGTGCAAATGACCTCCCTGAAAGCAGCAAAGGGTAAAGAATGTGGACTGGCTGCTCTTTACTGTATTAGACTGACTGAGAGCTCTTTGGGCTCTGTTCGCTAATACAGTATTGCAAAAGCCATTTCTGGTTTCCTTTGCTTCCAAAAAGCAGCAGCACTGAAGTGGTTAAGTCTGCTGGGACAGAGCACTAGAGTCACACTGCCATTTTTCACTTGCCAACCTTCTAGAAAATACTGCACTGGGTCACTGGGCAGAATCTGTGGGACTGTGAGCTACGCATGTCACCCTGTGGGTATAAACAGAGTCTCATGATAAAGATCAGTTTGACAATGTAAGACTTTTCCACAGGAGGAAACGTCAGACCACTAGTATCTGGTACATTACTAGAAGGTAGGCAAGTGGAAAGATTTATTTGTTAAACCAAACAAACAAAAATAATGGGTTTTGGGATCACAGTTTTGCCATGGCTATTTCCTGAGATGCCATGGAAGAAAAAGACATTTCATTCCATCCATCTTGCTTTCTTTTCCGTTTGTGCATGTCCGCAAAAGAGAGTACTGAAAAGGAGGAGGAAATGTATCCCCCGAGCATGCACTACGCACCAGCGGGATACATTTTGGTTACCCCCGGGCGGTGGTAGAGCCAGATCTGGTTACTCCTTCCCCATCCGAAAAGGTCACGCTCATTGGCACTAAAGCAACTGGGGAGGAATTGTTCTGCCGTCGTGGTATCTGGCTGGTCCCCACCGCTAACAACGCCCTCTGCCCCCGGCGGCTGGTGCTCCCAGCCTCTATTAACCAGGTCCGACTGTCTAACACCCATGGCTACATTTTTGAGTTCTGTTTCTCTTTGAGTTCATTCCAACCTCTGATGATGTCATAGCGCTAACGCTTCGCTTCTTTCCTTTCTTTTCCTTTTTTTTCCTTTTCCTTTGGAAAACGTTCAGCTTTGCTCAAATGCATCATTTAAATTTTTGAATACATTTTTTACAGAATATTCATACAATGACTTCTCTTTCAATGCAGTCCTCTCTCTCTCTTGTGGCGCTAGGATTCAGCTTCAGAAAAGGCCCAGAGCATTTTTTTTTAGTGGTAGGTGCAGCATCTCACCTCTCGGTCTAGCTAGACTAGTTCTGGAAGCAAGGGGCAGGAGTCATGCAGACATGTCTGTTAGGAACAAAATGTCATTTAGCCACTGAATTTGAAATGGCTCCCCCGGGAATTTAGGCTAGCCATACAGACCTGTAAATGGACACAGAAAAGAACAGGGCTACTTCCCCCAAGGGGTTTGCATTTCTCCAGATCCTAGGCCATTCCAGCTAGTCACAGCCCTTTTGTAATTCCTTATTCAAGTTAGGGCCATGATGGCCCCTCGTGGAGGAGTTGGGAGTGACACCGGCAGAACATCTCCAGTAGCCGTCTTACCTAAATGAAGGACATAACATGGGGCAGTATTCAACTAGATTTAGAGATTCAAACAACACACTAGAGATCTAATCACTTATACATATTCATTTTAGGATAGAAAAAGTGGTAGAGCAGAACCTGACCCTAAAAAGAAAGCCACTTTTAGGTCCATCACCTCCACCCTGGCCTCCAGCTTCAAGAGACGTAGGTCCTCCAAAGATACGGTAAGAGGAAGAAGAACAATTCTGCCCTCTCTCTTTCTCTCTCTCTCTCTTTTCTGCCATCCCATCGACTACCACACACCCATCCCGAAGCTGCCAGTGTACATGCATAGCCTCATGTTCGTCAACAGTCAGTCAGTGAGTCAGTCTTCCCGTGTACCTGAAAGGGTTCGGGGACTCCTGGAGAGCAGGAAGGAGCTGGTCTGTAGTCCTGTGATGAGTTTGGAGATGCTACCGAGTTTTTTGTTTTGTTTTTGACTGGATGAGTTTTGAGTTTACTCACCGTACTGGTGCTGACCTTTGGAAAACAATGACTATTTTTTTTCCTGTTCCTGAGTGTTCCTGTAACTGTTTGTCATTGTATGCCTGAAATGATCACCCCGGTTTAATTTAGGCACTGTCTCACCTCACCGAGAGCCATGCGTGTCACATTCTCTACATGTGGTTTTTGTTTGTGACTGAGAGCACTCAAGACTTACTGCTAAGTGCACAAGGAAGAGCTGTCTCTGGTTATGAGCAGCATTAATTCAGCTCTAGAAGAGAGACACCGATGGTTGAGAGAGGAGTTTTTAAAAACCCAACCTGATTCAAATAGTGTATTTCGCTGCTTGCTGCCTCTAAAGCCCAGCTAATGTGAAGCGGAAATACCGTGTCCTCTCCAGTTAGCAGTTCAGACACAACTCAATCAGGTTGGGCTGTTGAACTAAAAGCCAATACCCCATCTGTGCCCTTTGCACGGTGCCACTCTCTGCAGTTTGGCTAATCTGTTGTAGCAGTTGGATATGGGAGATCCATTTGGGGCCAGGCATCACAGTTAACAGGCTGCTGAAACACCTCCGACCTGCCCTGATCTGCAGATTTCTGCCCATTGCCGATTTGCTCAGGGCAGGTTCACATGGAGGCTGTTAGACATGATGCATGGCTGGGAACGGAGCGCCATTAATGAAACTGGGGTGGCAAAACGCAGCCCGCCATGTTCTGCAATTCACTTAACCTTTAACACAGAGGTGCAGCCCACAGAGACTAGAGGGACCTTCAGGAACTAGCATGTGATGGTCCATCTTGTTCCCAATGCATGATGGGACATGTAGTCTCTCTGGGCCATGGCTCTGTATGCAAAATGGGGGTGACTCCATTTTATGCTAAAGTAGAGGCTTGCTCCCAAGTGATGTAGAGCACGGTTTGGATCAGGCCCAATGTGCAGTGGCGAGCTGCTGACCAGCCAAGCCCTCAGCTGGGCCGGGTTGGGCTGCCCCTTCCCTAGAAGCCACTGCTGCTGCCATCTCACCGAACGGGATCCTTTACCTTGGCTGTCATCTCAGGATATGCAGCACATGCCAGCGGGTTCAGAGAACGCAGGGGAAGCCCCCCAGCACCTTGAGGAAGGGATCAGAGACAGCAGACTGGAAGGAACCACAGCGCTAGTGTTACCCGTGCTGCACTCTCCAGGCGGAGAAGCTCTCAGCCTGCACTAATGACCCCCCCATCACATCACATCACATCCCCGAAACCCAGTACCGCTGAGCAGGCAGGAGGGTGTGAGGTGAGATTGCCTGCTGGGGGCCCCATGACGTCACTCCCGCTAAATGTCTCTCCACCTCAAAGCACGGAGCACGGAGGGGGGAGCAGAGGGTGACGAAGGAGGAGGGGGGCGGGGGAGGCTCTGGGGAGCTGGGCTGGGCTACGGAGCTGAAAGGTTCCTTCGTGGGTTTTGTGTGTGGCATTTGTGACTAATGCCAACCCCCGAGACCAAGGAAACCAAAGAGGAAATGAGGCCCCTTGTTCCAAAGTTAACCGCTAACCCAGAGCGGGGCTGGGGCAAGTGCCCGAGGCGGGGCTGGAGTGCCATGGGCAGGGGAGAGGGGTAAGTGTCTGGACTGGAATGCGGCGGGCGGGAGCTGGGTCAGAGGCAGGCCAGCTGGGCTAAGTGCTCCGCTGTGGGGCGAGAGGGCTCAGTGTGCATGTCAGGGCTGCCTGGGGCCTGGACTATTTGACACCCCCCCACACAGGTAGGTGCTGCTCATGTGAGAGCACCGCCAGGCGCCCCCCAGACTCCCGGGGCTCCCACCCCAGGGAAGGAAAGGCGTGACACCGTACTGAGGCTGGGGGCCATACCCCTCCCCAGTTACTCTCTATAGCAGTGCCCTATTCCCGCAACCCTTCACTGCTCTCCAGTACGTCCCAGCATGATGCCTCCAGCAGGCGCCGGCACCCCCTAGAGCAGCAGCGTGAAGGATCTCACCCTCCAGCCAGCCCTTCACGCTCCTGGCCAGGTCACTGGCCTCGCTCCCCACCACACCCTGCCCCACCGAGCACAGCCTGTGGCCCTCGCACAAGCGGGCACGGGAAGGTGCACCCCAACCTTGGTCTAGTTCACAGGGATCGTCTTGTGCCCCGTTATCCCAAGGAGACAGGAGCGGCCAAGACTCCCTGCCGCTGGTTGTGTGGGGGTGGGCGGAGGCTCTGCCAGCTCAGGGGATTATGCGGTGGCTCTGCCGAGGGCAGCAGGTGCCATGACTGAGAGTTGGGCACTTCTCCCCCCCATGCCCAGTCTGTCCCGCTGCTGTGTTCCCTGCAACTGGAAGGGAGGATAGTTCAGCCCTTGGCCCAGGATCCCAGATTAGATTAAACGGGGTTGTAAAGACATTCGCTTGTTGTCTGGTTTTTGTCACTACAAGGCAGACGTCAGGTTGTTTGGGCACCTCAACTCCATTTCCATACCTTAACACGCTTGAGTTTCTTCTACAGTCAACTTGAGCGCTGATGTTCTTGGCTTTATAGTGCTTGGTCTGGGGATAATTACAGCACCCCCTAATGTACGTTACCCGATAAGTGATCTCAACATGAACTCCAGCTGAACACAGCTTTTATCTAGACATTTCCTTGGTTTTAAAATTGTTTAAAATGTCGTCTATGAACACTAGCCAAGAAACCACACAACCGTTGCCATGTATAGTCTAATGATTGACAGATACATCATTTCAATCTGAAATCAGTCTTGTATTGTGACATTTATGGCCAAATTCACCAGGACACTGGCTGCTTTATGCCAGTCTGGCCCTGGCCAGTTACATGGGTTTACAGCTGCTTTGTGTTGGCAGTGCAACGCAAATCAGCCAGAGCATGCCTCGCCGTTTCCTCCCCTTCCTGCCCTGCACATTCCCCTGGGCAGGCTCCCCCAAATGCCTTCTGAACCCCAGACATTCCTTGCATGCGTGTGGGCACACGTGCACACTCACATCCATACATGTACACACACGTGCACTGTTGCCAACTCTTTGGAGCAACACAATATTAAGCGCTGCTGGAGCCTGTCTCAGCCAATGAGTGGAGAAGCTCCGGCCCTCACGTCATTTTCAACCCTTCCCAAGGGGAAAACCCCTCTGATTGGCTGGATGCCTTCGCCACTTGTCCACCTCCTGGGGAAGAGCAGCTAGTGAGAGCTGCTGGAGGTGATGGGCCACACTTACCTCCAGGAGCCAGAGGGGTTTGGAGGTTAAGGAGGGTGGGGTGCAGACAGTCCCTCTTTCAAAATGGCGTCATCTCTTACTCTCAATGGGTTTAAAGCCCTTCACGAAGATGGCCAGCGCCTCCCATATTTCTTCAGTGGAAATGAAGCCAAATTGCTTCCAGAGAAGTACAGTCAGAAGGCAGCGAAGAGCCCTGTGCAGTACCGATGAATGGAATTGGGCGACATCTTTGCTAAGGGCAGCCTAAGTCCCATTGAGAGTGATAGGAAATGGCAGCCATTTTGAGAGAACAGTCATGCTGAGTTTCTCTGAAGGGGGCCATTACTCTTCAGCCTCTGCTAGAGGAGAAACTTTCATTTACAAAAAATAATGGGGAATAGTCCTTAAAAGTGCTTCTAAAAACTACCCATTGCACCAGATATACCCAGGCTTCACCTCTCGGCTGGGGTTCGTGTGACTAGACAATGGTTGTGGGTTTGGGACAATTGAAGGCCCAATTTTAACATTAATTTTAGCTCATACACTTATTACTGGAATTACTTGGCATGTCCAGAACGTTCATTTAGTATTCAAAGAACAATTGCTGGAATCTTTCTCGCAATAGTGTATGTTTCCTAGAGAACCAAGAGACGGGATTGTGGCTTTAAGTGTAAAACTCACTTGAGCTGTAACTGGGGAGCGTCCCTTATAGACACTGCTTGTGATGCATGTAACACCCAGTGACAGAGCACAGAGTCCCCCAAGACAGCCCGAGCCACACCTAATCCACGCAGATTCAGCTCACACTGCATCTGCTCTAGTCCTTAGATGGCATTTGAGTGGCCATAACGCCTATAGACAAACCTGAGATGCACATAATCCCCCTAGAAACAGTACAAAACGGCAAAATACCAGTAGATACAGAATGAGATGGACACGCTCATGAAAAACACAGCACAAGGCACAAATAAATGCCAGGCAATCCCCGAAGATCCCACTGAGAGCCATGCAATCCACTGAAAAACACTTTGGTGGGAAACCAATCGTTACAGAGCCCACCTGAGGTCCCAGACTGCCCTGGACAACACCTGAGAGTCCATATTCCTCACACACACAGCATGGCATGCAGCTGACCCTGCTAGCCAGAGGGGTGATCAGAGCATTGTCGATTTCTGTCCTGACTGTTCAGTATATAAACCCTGCACTGGGTTTCTCCAGCAGGGCCAGAAGGAAGTGGTTAATAGGGGCAGGGCTGGGGAGGGAGAGGATTGTCTCTGAGAATTGATTTGTCTATAAATAGAGATTAAGACCCAAATGGAGGAAAGTTGGAAGTTCCTCTTTAGGGGCCTGATTCATCGCCCTTTGGAATCTCCTTCCTTTGGCTTCAGTGGGCACTGCCTTAGCTGGGCAGGAGGGTATTATCCTACCAATGTAGGGTGACCAGACAGCAAGTGTGAAAAATTGGGAGGGGGTGGGGAGTAATAGGAGCCTATATAAGAAAAAGACCCAAAAATCGGGACTGTCACTATAAAATCAGGACATCTGGTCACCCTATACCAATGTGACAAGGAGATGGGACTGACAGGCCATGTCTGGGATCTGTAAACCCCTCCTTTCCCTTCTGGGTGATGTTGCACCCTTTCCCTGAGCTCATGGTGGTGGGTTTGGAGGGCACAGTGCTTGGGGTTATGGTGCTCAGGCAGGGAGCCTATCAGCAGAAAGGAAGTCTGTTTAGTTTTAAAAGCCTTTTCTTGGGGAGGGAGGAGTTTTGGGTACCAGCAGTTCAAACCAATTTCTGCCTCCCTACAGGTATCTCCTGTGAGGGGTGGGGGAGACTTTTCCAAATGAGCTTTTGCCAAACTCAATCTGTAGGAAAAGCAGGAACCAAATTCCAGGCCACATCTTTACTGCATGTCGTACGTTGGCATTTTCACATTAACAACGATTTATCACAACTAAATCACGGGGCACATTTCTTTACCCACTTGAGGGGAAAGTCAAAAGCAGGCGTATTGGGACAAGGAAGCCAAGTGCCCTGAACTAAAAGTGAAATGAAGCCGCCCAATGATAACTGACCCAATGGGCTGGCTCAAATTGATTCACGGGGTTTCTTGGTCTCAGTTCCTCACAGGAGCTGAGACTGAATTGCTCACCGAGCGCTATAGAAGCTGCCATATTCTGTAGAAACTGTACTGTCTCCGGTGAACTCTCCTCCAAGCCAAGCTGTAGGGATGCTTGGGAACTGTCTGCAGCAACCTATGGAAAAGCTTTGATTGCATTTGTAATTGACAGTAAGACTGCAACAGTTTTCCTGCCGTTGCCTCATCCCTGAGTGCTACCCTGTAGGGACACACGTTTGAATGAGCTGCGCCAGGCAGGCAAGTGCCAGGGCTGCCTAACATCTCGCTCTCCTTGTCTGTGTATTTGTCTTTTGCAGCAGTATCATCCCACTGACATCACCGGGCAACTCAACCTCTCCGACCCCTCAGTCAGCACTGTGGTGTGACGTCCTCCAGCAGGAGCCATCAGTCCCTAGTTTAAGACGGCCCAGCCCAGGACTTCCTTTCAAAGGGACACTGATGGGTCCTTACTGGTGAGTCAAGAGGGACGCATCCTCCATCCATACGCAGTGACTTCATTGTCTATCTCCTGCCCTTCCTGGTCCTGCTGACACGTAACGCCCCAGACTGCACTACAGAACTAGGGACCATTCTGGAGCTGCACTGTACAGAGATGATCACTTCCAAGTCATGCCATTTTTTACTCAGTATTGCCACTGGCTGCAGATGAGTTGGAATTAAGGCAAGAGACGGCTCTGAATAGCCCACGGCAGCTGCCCTCACCACGGAGCAGCGGCAGGAAAAGCAGGGAAGGAGTGGATGGTTACAAATGTGTTGCATCCTTTGCAGGGGGTGGAGGACAATTTGCTGAGACCTTGTTTGTTCCTAAGCGCGTGTATGGAATCCCATAGCCGAGGCCACATACGTCACATGACACAGGAGGACTGTGACGTGGTGGTAGCACTGGAGCTGCAGGTTCCTGTCCATAGCTCAGCGTGCAAGGCACGTCTGCCTCTGTTCTAGTGTCGCCGTTTCAGGGAGCAGGTGCCGCCACCCAGACCGCTGATGAAACATGTTCCCTCTGGCTACAGTTGGGAAGAGCCTTTTCTCCAGCTCTCTCCATTTCCAGGTGACAATAAAGTCCACAGCTCCCTATTCACCCACCCCTCCTGTCTGCACCAAGCCGGCCCCCGCCCTGCGCCCACATTAGCCGTCTGTTTCTACATGGCCACACTGGTACCACCTCCCTCCCTCCCTCAGCTCCCCACTGCTGGCACCACTCCACCCTGCTGTGACACAGGTGGCTCGGAGGACCACTGCTGGCTGCTTGGTGAGGTCCTGTCAGTGTGTTTTGAGCGCCCCCTTAAGTCTGTCTGCATACAAGACATTTGTACGGGCCAGGCCACGCTGAGCACCGCTGCAGATGGATGACCAGCCCAGCAATGCCATGTACCAGGCACTGGCGCACACGGACATCACTGCTCTGGATAGTTTGGTCCATCCCTTGCCTTTGCCATCCGCCTCGCTGCCCCAGCGTCTCCAGAGCTCACGCCGCAGCAATGTATTTCATAGCAAACGGCCAAAGGCTTTCTGACGTTCCTGCCGAATGCCCTCAAGTGCGTCTAGTGTCACAGCGTGGCCTCCCAGCACCACTAACGAGCTGTTGTGAGCGGTGTGCCCTGGGCATGACTACGGTGCTACACACACACTGGCCTACCCACCGGACCTGCACTCACCATTGAACCTGAAAAGTGAGCTCACTAGCGCCACCACCAGGCCTTCTCTGAACACGCCACAAGAGCTCGCCATCAGCCTGGCGTCACCGGCATCTCTGCAAACAGAGACTAGACACAACCCACCCATCACGGTGACCAAGTCACCACCACCACACATTCAACGGACGAGCCGCAGAAGAGGGGGCGCTCGGAGGGACACTTGCCCATTCCCAAGGTTCTTGTCCATGCTCTGCCCGATTCATCCCGCCTCGTACGTATCCAGGCGCCGTTGTCTCCTGTAAATCCGTTTGTGCAGGCAGTGGGGAATGAATGTGGCCAGCAATGCCGGCCTTTAACCCCATTGCACTATCTAATCAATTCTCTAGTAACTGCACAGCAGGCAGGCGCTACCCCATGTACAGTGTGTGTGTGTGTGTGTGTGTGTGTGTGTGCGTACAAAGCTGTTGGTATATTTAACTCTTGCATGTGGAATGTAGATACATTTTTTAAAAGCAAACCTGTCTGCAGTGTGACACTGAAACACAGCCCCACCTGGGTGCGCTGACCTGTCCTGCCTGGCTGGTCTATGCCATGGCGTGGCGTAGCAGCAGCTACCTTCCCCCTCCAGTACTTTAACCCCAAGGGCTGGTGGCCATTGCAGAAGGAATTGGATTGTACAGTATTTCCAGACTCAGTGGGCCAGATCCTCAGCTGGCATAAATCAGCGTACCTCCGTTGACTGCAGTGGCACCATTGATTCCAGTCAGGCGAGGCCAGTTTACACCATCTGAGAATTTGGTCCACACTACGTATACTTTGATGTCATGTAACTTAAAACACCATTTTGCAAGAGCTGGGTAAAGTCCAAACCGGACCATAAAGCGGTTTATTCCAGTGCCTCGTGCCTCCCTTCTTTTTGTAGCCATTTTAAATTGAGACCCACCCAGCAAACCCAGCAGCTGCCACCAACTCTGAGCCTCCCCTGGCGTTATTGTCAAGTAGCTTACAGATAATAAAACAAAAGGCAAGGGGTGGAGCAGAGCAACAAGTGGCAGAGCCAGCAATGGGCACCAACTCCAGGAGAGACCCGGCGAGAGCGTAAACGGGCCCACGTGCCGGGGATCCCAAGCCAGATTGCTCACGGAGCTGATCTGTGCCTGGGCCATCGCTCCAGACAGCGTGCGAAGACGTGCTCAATAGTCACGCCAACAGACGACCTGCTGGAGTGCATGGCCTGAAAACTGGCTGAGGTAGACACATTCTGGGAGCAGCTAAATACAGCTGCGTCCCAAGCCTGTTCCCTTCCAGGCTTCTGGGAGTCCCGCTAGTCAGCGGCAGCTCCAGCCAGTTCTTAGTTGACGGGCAGCCAAGTGACTAGCATGCTAAAAACCAGGTCATGCTGACTTTTTGTTCATTAGCATAATAGGCATCCTGTTACATGCCTGAAAATGAGCATGATGGCTAGCTAGACAAGCAGCTCGTCGAGCGCCAAGGCTGCTGCTCGCAGCTCAGGTGAGATCTCTTGAACAGGACTACCCGAAACAGCAGTCACAAAAAGATCGTCCGTCCCCATCACAGCACGCAGGTGCCCGGCAGGCTGGGGGCTTGGTCCCTAGGTATAGGCACTGGGGGGGGGGGGCGGATCTCACCATTGCAGCAGGTTTGCAGAGTCTGACGGACTTTCAGCCCAGCGGGGCAGATCGTCAGCTGGTGTAAATCGATGTCGTGCCCTGGCTCCAGGACTCCCTGACTTCAGTGGCGCTGTGCTAATTGCCACCAGCTGAAGCTCCGCCCCTTGGGGTGAAGTTCTGCTTTGGCTGCAGTGGCTCTGCACAGCTGGCACCGGGGGCAGAACCTGGCCCCTGCTCTTTCGCTGTGTCTAAAATAAACGGAGGAGTTGGAAAACTCTGCTCTCGGCGCAATGGAGTCCTTGCTGTGGGGCTGTATGATGAGCCCTGCGCTGTTCCGGTGAACGGCACTCACTGCATGACTGACGTCACAATTGCACTGGGTTATACAGAGGTGTCTCTTTTTATTTACTATTAGAAGTGCATTTTACACACCCTTTGCTGTAGAGTCTGGGTGCTCTTTGCTGATCCCGTTATATACCGGCTACAGCTACACACGGGTACTGCCCTCCTTTCAGCACCTGCCTTCTAAAATCGGGTTGCAGAGGAGTCCATAGGAAGAGGAGTCTTCTCTTATGTTCTGGTGGCCACAAGACTCAGCCCGATCTCCAGTGGAAGCTGGTTCTGACCCTTACTAAGGAAGCTCAGTACTTGATCCGTTCCAGGAATGCCTAGGACTTCATCACGGTCAGCACCCTGAGGTAGCCAGACCCCGACCCATTCAGGGCTTTGTGGAGGAGAAGCAGGCCGTGGAATTGGAGTCTGGATTGGGTAGGTAAGGGGAGTAGCATACAGAGCACTTTTCATGGGTTCTGGTCAGTCTGCTCCAGTAGCATGCAGGCTGCAGCCAGAGCTTCCAGGTAGTGTTTGGTCAGTGCCAGGGAGAGCGTATTACAATGGTCAGGCTTGGAAGCAACAAGGCAATGGATGGGGGTGGCGAGGTCTTCCTGGGAGTGCAAGGGCACTGCTCCTGGGCAGATGCAGACTGTTACCAGCAGAACCCCAGGGTCATGCACCTTTTAGGAAACAGGGGCTGATGCCCTCAGCCCAAGATGTCATTACTGTTTTGGCTAACCCGTTAAAATGCCTCCCTCTGCCACTCAGTAGCCCCTCTCTTGTGCTCATGCAGCTCCGGAGCTGGACTAGTAGGCATCACAAGCCGTCTGACAGAGACAAGGAGATTATTCTGGAGCATGTGAGGACTAGGCTGCAATGCAATATGGATTCCCAGGTTAAGATGGGTGGGTGCAGGTTCTTAGATTCTCAGGCCGGCAGGGACTATTGTGATCATCTAGTCTGACCTCCTCTGGGCCAGAGAACTGCCCCAGAATAGTTCCTTTTGACTGACAGCATAGAGTTTTAGAAAAACATCCAATCTTGATTTTAAAATTGCCAGTGATGGAGAATCCATCATGACCCTTGGTAAATTGTCCCAATGGTTCATTACCCCTCCCCTTATTTCCATTCGGAATCTGTCCAGCTGCACCTTCTACCCACTGGCTCATCTTAGGCCTTTCTTTGCTAGTTTGAAGCACCCCATTATTAAATCTTTGTTCCCCATGTAGATACTCACAGCCTGGGATCAAGTCACCCCTTAGCCTTCTCTTTGTTAAGCAGACTAGAATTATCTCTTTGAGTCCACCACTACAAGGCAGGTTTTCTACTCCATTAATCGTTCTCGTGGCTCTTCTCTGACCCCTCTCCAATTTATCACTGTCCTTGAATCGTGAGCACCAGAACGGGACACAGGAGTCCAGCAGCAGGTGCACCAGTGCCAAATACAGAGGTAAAACAACCTCTCGACTCCTCCTGTTACTGAGATGGAAGAAATAATATCAAAGCAATAAGGCAGCGTGAGGCTGAGACAATATTTCCCCTTAAAACAATGCCCAGAAAATGTCATAACTAGAAAGGAACAACTCCAGGCATTCCCAGCAAAGGGCTCACCCCCTACCTCAACCCTGCCCCCTGGCTGGAGAGGAAGCCACAGTGTGTCAGGATGGATTTAAGCACAGATCCCTGCATCCTTAGAATCAGACCCCTGTACTGAAAAGAGACCCCCGCCCCCGTTTGTTAGGAGTGACTGGCCCCCAGTGCCAGACCCAGAGGAGCCCAGAGGAGGAGGGCTGGGTGTGTCTCAGCCCCATCGATTATGTAACTGATGGGATGGGTGATCAGAGGGAAGGAGTGGCAGCTGAAAACTGCCCAAGGCACCAGGAGGATGCCAGGCAGGGCTCACGCACATTCCAGCTCCACCTGACTCTATGCAGAGAGGGGCCAAAGTGACGACTCCCTGTGGGCACATGGGGCGGCTGAGACCAGGCTGTGCTTAGTGGGTGCAGTAGCGCTGGGTCCCCAGCCTGTACCCGGGGGCAGGCAACCCAACCCCACTGGAGCAGTGAGCGAGGACAGGCCAGCAGGGAAGGAGGCCGGGGGAGATGGAGGTTCTAGGGCCATAAGGGGATGGTGGGTGAGGGGGGGACACTGGGTGGGGCGCACATGTGAAGGGTTTGCTGTCAGATAACACAGAACTACTCCTTAGCACTAAGATCACTGCATTTGTTCCCAGCACTGCATACATGGTGCTGCGGGAAGGGGAGAACAGGCTGCCCTTGAACGCCCAGTGTTTTCCTGGGAATAGCCCGTGGGGTGCGCACGGGGGTGTGTGTGTGTAATGGAAAAGGAAAACATTTTCCACGTGTGTTGGATTCCATTGTGCTGCTGAGTGGCTCTCAGGCCCAACAACCTGACTACTGTCATTCCCCACTGGTAGGGTGGGTAACCTGGACTCTGGGGTTAGCTTTGGCTCTGGGAGCATTGGCCGTGCAGGAAGAGCTGGAGCCAGGAGTGATAGATTTGGTGATGCTTCCTTTGTTCCCTCTGGAGCCAGAATGCAGTTCAGCTCTCTCAATGGCCAATCTCTGCCTGTAGGTCACAGCGAGCGCTCATTGCCAGATCTGAAATCTGAGCTCTCAACACAGAGGGCACAAGGAATAGTTAAAAGCAACAGAGGGTCCTGTGGCACCTTTAAGACTAACAGAAGTATTGGGAGCATAAGCTTTCATGGGTAAGAACCTCACTTCTTCAGATGCAAGAGGATAGTTCTGGTCCCCATTGTTGAACCTGGTCCCAGTTCAGGTTTCCAGAGCACACACTCACGGTTACAAGTTCAAAATTCACTTGCCACAAATATTCTCTAAAATTTACCATTCCTGTGAGCTCTCCTGTCCGGGGACATGTTTGCTAGAACATCAGTGGGACATGAATGCAAACAGGGGGTGAACACGGCCAGAGCCAGCTAGTCTTGACATTCACGTAGGTAGGTCCAGAGCATTGTTCAGTATTTGCCCAGCTCCAGCTCTGACCCTCTCATCCTGAACATCCCTGGGTGGAAAGGTGCGTGCCTCTGGTTTGATTTGCCCATGCTCTGGTCTAAACACAGGAGGAACCAGAGCAAACGGCTCCTATTTCTCCAGGATAGTAGCAGCATTCACACCCTGACCGTTCCCCTGAGCACACTGGCTGCTACTGAAGAAGCTACCCAACCACCAGTGCAGCAAGGAGGCACTGTAAAGGCTGAGAATATTGCAAACCTAAAGGCAATTCTCCGCTCACCCTACTGCAGCAGGCGCCAGGTTTCCTAGCGTGCCATCCCAATCGTGTTAGCCCTGTGGATGGGTGCAGGAACTGCACTCAGCCCCCGGCTGTCACATTCATATTGGGGTACTGGGCTGGGCAGGCCAGAAGGTTACACCCTTCGGCTAACACTGAAGCCCTGGTAATGGAGGGTCGTCCCTCTAGGTGCCTTTGAGGCAGATTAGGAAGCAGAGAGGGGCCTTTCACCGCTGAGGTGCTGGCATGAACCAGGCCAGGTGGGAGCAGTTCCCATCTGCTGCTGGTCAGGGGCAGGTGTGGAAGATGATGGGGGGGGGGTCTCAGCCCAGTCCTATTGGCTCTCACTCCATAGCAGAACAATTGGCACCTCGCTGGCAGGCTCTTGGAAAGAGCTGGAGGGCTCGGGGGTGGAGCCAGCGCTCGCCAGCCAGTGCAGATGGATGTTCAGGGAAGTCTTGCTGAAACTTTGGGGATTTCCCCCTTGGGTCGTTGCTGCTGCTCCAAGGAACGTGAGTGGGGCTCATGGTCCCCTGGGGGAGAAGGAAAGGCCCCGCAGCAGGGGAAGGTAACACAATTATCTTCCAGTACCCACGACAATGCTTGCCAGCCCTGGGACACAGACACGTCCCCTTGCTGGCCCACCCAGAGCTACTGCAGCCACAGCACTCCCACTCGGGTGGGCTCCTCACCAATAGCAAAGTTCGTTCAGGAGGTGGTTATAGGCCACGGCCAGGGAGCCGAGTAGGAGGCAGATGAGGATGCTGGCCAGGAAGGAGGCCGGGCCGATGAGCAGGAAGAAGGCGTAGTCCCGAGGGTACAGCAAGCTGTCCTGGCAGTGGCTGAAGGACTCGTTGCCAATGGCCAGGAGGGGATACTGGTTGAGGTGCTCTGGGAATCTGCACAGGATCAAATTCTCCTCTGCCAGAGAAAGACAGACACAAAGGTCAGGCTGGGTCATGGTTCCCAACCTGGCAGCAGCACATGGGAGGTGGCTTGGGCTCCTGCCTGGGCCGGAGGAGGGCTACAGGCTGCTGCCAGCACCGGAAGGGAAGGGCAGCGTCAGGGAGGATGACTGGGCAGGGTAGTGCTGGGCAGGGTGGGCCGGTGCTCAGAGCAGGCCAGCAGCCGTGGGGAAGACCTGCAGGCCGGCTGGGTGTGGTAGTGCTGGGCGAGGTCACGCAGGACAATCCAGCATTGGGACGATGGGGCAGGCTGTGGGCCATGACAGCAGCCCTGGGGTGGGACAGGATGGCAGCCCTCAGGAGGAGCACAGCCTGCTAAGTGGCCAGGAGCAATTCCCCCACCCCACCCCCCGCGCCTCGGTCTTCTCGTAGTGCAACGGGTGCCAGGTGACATGTGCTGCGCAGAGCTGGGGTTAATTCTGTCAGCCCAACTGAGTGTCATGGAAACATCCCGCCCAGCCAGGGCGCAGGCCCAGGGCTCCCACCTAAACACGGCGGCACTGGGAGCGAGTCGGTGCCCATGGTGATACACACCAGGAAGTAAGTCGGGTGGCTGATGGGGGGGAGGCTGAACTGGCTCGTAGGCTGAGGAAGTGGGGCGGGACCTGGGGCAGACGCTCTCTAAGGGCTGGGGGTATGATACCCACACAGGCCAGTGGAGCCGGCAGGAGCCATGGGGCACTATCTGGGGCAACTCCATAAACAGCCCTCCCATCCTCCCAGCCCAGGCTACACTGGCCTCTCCTTTTCTTAGTGGACTGGGGAACAGAGAGGGGCCAACCTGAAACTCCCTGAAGGGGTTCATTGCACAGAGGCCTGGCAAAAGGCCTGGCACTCGTTACCCCAGCCAGGCCGTCAGAGAGCTAAAGCGGGGCACCCTGCTGCCTGGATGGAGAACCCCAGCCAAGTGCTGCATCTGGCCCTTGCGCTCCTGAGCACACAGGGACTGTGCAGGGCCTGTGGCTGGGAGACGTCCAGAGCGGAGCGCAGGGCCCAGGGAAGGAAGGGCTGGAGCACAGGGCAGCTCTAGTGGTGCCCCTCAGCTGCAGCCTCCCTGGCACCAACACTGCTCCCAGCGAGGGGCTGGCCCCTCACCATTCCCAAACTCCCTGTCCTTAGCTGGGGCTGGTCCTGGGACGCCCCTCGGCGCCCATGGCAGGAGGGCCTGTCCAAAACCAGGGGCCAGAGGGCTCTGCCCGTGTGGAGCTCCCTTCCCTCAGCCCTACTGTCCTTGACTCCTCTTTTACCCAGGCTCTGCGGCACAAGGGCTGACTCCTCGCGGCCTTGCCCAGGCTTCGCCCGCGACATCAGTGAGCAGGCTGGGCCGCAGCGGGGGGTCAGGCCCTGGCCCTCACTCCCTGCTCACTGTGTCCTGCCGGCCCAGGCCTTCTCCCGGTGAGTTGTCACTGCCCCTGCAGAGCAGGGGCTGCCCAATCCCAGGCCAGAGGCTTCGTTCAGAGCCGGGCTGTCACCCGAGGAATTTGTGTGTGACCAGCATCGTGGTGGAACCTGCAGCCACATGCCCTGTGGAACCCAAACCCGCCTGCTTCAAGGGGAGGGGCCCCTAGGGAGCCTCAGGTCTACAGACCCTGCCTCTGGCCGATAGGATGGAATAAATCTGCTGCCGTCAATGCACGAGAGTCACTCGAGGCTCCCTTCCCCCAGCGTGGCCAGCCCTGGGAGCGAGGGAGTCGAGTGGGGCTGGCTGGAAATCGAGAACTCTGCGGCAGAAGGGAAATGAGACCTCGTACAACTGGAGACCCTGAAATAGGCCCATGGTTGGGCTGTGCCTGACTCGGGGCCAGGCCGTCAGCCTGGCTCCCCCAGCAGGCTACGAGTTCATAGCACACGCTCTCTCTGGCCCAATGGCCACTGCATTATTTCTACAAAGTGGAACAACTTCAAACAGGAGAGATTGAGAGACCCATTGTGTGGCCCAGTGGCCAGGGCCCTCCCCCAAGATACAGGAGTGGTGGGGCTGGGCCCGGCCTCTAAGAACATTCTGTCAGAATCAAGAGGGTTCAGTGAAAAGGGAGCCGGATTGTCCAAGGAAGAAAAGGTTTCATTGAAAAATTCCTGCCCGGCTCTAGGCTCGTACTCTGCCCTCCGTGCTGCTGCGTTGCCCCTCCATTCTTACCTTGGATTTTGTCCCTGTTGCCCATGCTCCAGAGGAAGAGGGGCTGGATTTCACAGGTGCACGCCCACGGGTTGCCCTGCAGCGTCAGGGAGCGCAAGGCAGGCAGGTTCAGAAAGACGCCGGCATGCAGCGACCTCAGGGCGTTGCTGTGCAGAAAGAGCTCCTGCAAGCAGGGCAGTGCTTCCAGCACCTCTGGGGGCAGCTGGCCAAGCTTGTTGGCCCCCACGTTGAGAGTCACTAAGCCTGGGAGAGGCAGGACAGTCTCGGCCGGGAGCATGGTGAGGTAGTTGTTGCTCAGGTCCAGCTCCCGCAGCGCCCCAAGCCCTGCCAAGGCCTGGCTGTGGATGCTCACCAGGACGTTGCTGCGCAGGCTGAGGTTCTGAAGCGCCTGCTGCAAGCGGAAGGAGCGAGCCTTGAGGACTGCGATGTGGTTGTGGCCCAGCCACAGGGCACTGGTGTTGGTGGGCAGGTTTTCGGGCACAATGCGCAAGGCTCGGTAACTGCAGTCCACTTCCCCAGAGGAGCATCTGCAGACGGCAGGGCAGCAGGGGGAGGGGAGCGGGCACAGGAGGAGAAAGGCCAGGAGAGTGGCCGGGCCCCTCCAGCCAGCCATGCTTAGCTGCCAAGAGAACCACTCAGCTCCCGTTCCCCCAAGTCCTCCAGTTCTCCAGGCGCCTGCCGTGCCTGGACACACCCAGCCTTCCTGGTCCGGCTCAGCAGCCCGCACAGGTTGGCTCTGCAGGGCCGGGGCAGCCGGCAGTGCGGGCGCCAGGCCGGGGGCCCACAGTGCCTTGCACAGGTCTCGGACACCCTGCAGTTCTTCTGGCACTTTCATCCCCCTGCAGAGTGCAGCCTCACCTGCGCTCTGCAAACATTAACCTGGCTGCTCAAAGGCCAGCGGCTCTCCCCGGTGCGGTTTCTTCAGGGCGGAGCTGCACTTTCTTAGCAAATATTTTCACAGGGCAGACGCTGCTGCCAAGATGCAGAGCCAGGGTCCCCCTCCCCCACCACACAGGAGACTGCTCCAGGCCAGGTAGTGCAGCAGTGCCATACACAATAACCTTAAGGCCACACCCTTGGGGGGCTGGCCAGATCCCCTGCACCCAGCCCACGCTCAGGGGCTGGGGTGGG